GCATGAGGCCACTCTGGAGGAGGTGACTCTGCCCCCGGGGAAGCCTGGACCTGCCCGACACTGTCCTTGACCCAGATGGCCATCCTGGGCAAGTCGTTCCCTTTTCTGGCCTCAGAAGTCCCAAACACTGCCGAGCGTCTTGGTGACCTCGGGGTGAGCACCATCAAGGACGGGGGCTTCTGTCCCGCCCCAGGGGGCCCTGGGTCCATGCAGGGGGCTAGTCCATATCCTCAGCATGAGGCTACTCCTCTTGCTCCAAGATGGCTGCTTGAGCTCCAGACATCAAGGCCACTTTCCAGTTATCCAGAAGAAGGCCAGCAAAAAGGGAAGTCAGGCTTTCTCCTTCTGCAGCAAAGCCCAGCAGGTGAAGCCAGTATTTCTGCTCACATCGTGTGAGCAAGAATGCTTGAAAGGTACTCGTTGTTCCCGTGTGTTCAGCTAACGGTCAGGGGTTATGTTACTCAGGGGGCAGAGAAGAGGCACTGGGTGGACACCGGCAACTCCGCCTCCGGCCTACAAGGAAGGGGACCCACTGCCCAGCCTCCCCTGCCGCTCCCGCCACTCAAACCTCCGTCCCACTGCAAACGAATCAGCCTCTTCCCTGCACCAGGGGTCAGGAGCGCCAGGCAGTCCGTTGCCCAGTCAGGAGGTGACGACCCTGTGTCCCCACCAAGACCCTCGGGCAGTGGCCTCACTCTCGCCCAGTCGGCTCCCACGTGCATCCTGAGCCTGTCCTCCCTCCCCATGGCTCCTGCCAGCCGCGTCTTTCCTGGGCCCCCGCAGGGTCCTCCCAGTGACCTTCCTGCTCCCGACCAGCTCTCTGCAGAGCAGCCGCCATCGTCAACCCAAGGCTGCAATCGGGAGTCCCCGGGGGCTTTCAGGTTAAAATAATAAAATCCCGAATCCATGGCATGGCCCTGCAAGGACCCCTCTGCCTTGGCCCTGTCTCTAGCTGTGCAACTCTGGAGAGAGACCTCTCTCTCCTTCCCTCTGCCAAGCCATCAACCTCACCCAGCTCCCTCCTGCCACAGGGCCTTTGCACATGCAGCTCTGGGCCTCTGCCCTCTGCCCTGACCAAGTCCCATTTCAGAGGAGTGCCTCAACCTGCCACCTCCACCCTAGACGAGGTCAGTGCTCCCACACCACTCAGTATCTCAACACGATTTTGTCACTATTGCAATCGATGATTCCTTTCGCGGCATATGCCCCTGGGGCAGAGCCCTCCTCGGGCTTCAGTGACAGGGTCAGACATCACCAGAGACCTCCAGCAGGTGGGGTTCTGGAAGGCGAGGGGGCAGGGGTGGCGGGCTTGGGGGGAGGGGGTCTCTGCAGTGAGGTGCTCAGTCTTGTCCCCAGTGAGACGTCTGCTTAGGCGTCTTTTGAGGAGCGAGTCTTGAACGTCGGGAATGTTTTTCACGGGAACATACACTTGACCTGTGTGGGCGTCGTGGGCCGCGGGTCAGGAACCCCCAGCTGTGGGTTCGCCTGTGTCCCTCTAGACATTGGGCTTGTTCCTCCACTCTCGGGGTCGCCTTGGTTTTTCCCTCTGTGAAAAGGGCGTCATTGAACAGGATCCCGAGAGTCCCTCTGATTGGTTCTCGTGTTGACAGAGTGATCTTCAGGGGACCGGTAGACGCGACTCCGACCGTCAGTCAGGCTGAGCCAGGCTCTGCTGCAGTAACAGGTAACTCCTGGCCTCTCAGGGCCACACACCTCTTGCTCACATGAAGTCTGCTGTGTGTTAGCAGCGTCATTGGGAACATGTGGCCTCCAGGTCCCCAGCAGGGGAGAGGAAGGCTCTCGCGTCTCTAAGGGAAGTGACCCCAGAGTCCCCATCCACAGTCCACTGGCCAGAGGATCCCATGGCCGCTCCCAGTTGCAAGGGAGTCTGGGAAATGCAAGGGCCCTGAGACTGTGTGTGCTGCCGTGCTCCCTCGGGTTCCGTGAGCGGTGCCGGCTGAGTCCCCTGTACCTGGTGCCCCAGCACAGGGCACCTCTGGGCGCCCACGGGGGCTCCCTCCTGGACACCCTCCTTCTCCACATTCCCAGCTCAGCTGAAGCCCAGAGACCGCGATACCCGTCCCCCAGCTGAGCGGCCAGCGCCTCCAAGACATCTGGGATCCCGCTTTGCCCGAGGGGACGGGACTGGCCACAGATGGTGTCTTGCCAGTTCTGGGGCGTCCTTGGAATGACAAGAGGGACATCTGTTCTCCCTTTGTCTTGAGGACGGTCAGAGGGAATGACATAGGAGACGGGGGCTTCCAACCCAGAGCAAGTGTCCCAAGGCTGAAGGTGCCGCATCTGTCACTCATTCTCGTGCTCCGCGGTCCCCACCCGTCCACTGGGTACCATGCCAGGACACAGGGTGAGACTTTGTGCCGAAGTGGCCAGACCCGGGACCTACCTCTCGCTGGGGGCTCAGGACGCACGGTCCAGGGGTCCTGCCCTCCCGCGGGGCAGGTCTAACTGATGGTGACGAGGACGCACCTGGTGGTGACCAGGACGCCGAAGACAGCAATGTCCTGCGTTTCCCGTCTCCCCGTCCTGCTCACTGGGGTCCTGGCTCGGAGACCTTCAGATGGGATTGATGTTGAACTTCGACTCAAGCCCCAGGAGCAAGGTTCTGAATCGTCCCATCCAGATCCCCACATCTGGGTCACTGCAGGGCAGCTGCTCTGCCCCCAGCTGTGCTCAGGACTGCGGGTGTCTCCCACCGGGCCACCCTGCAGCCTGAGGAGGGCACCGTCCCTCCCGCGCAGCTCCAGGACGGCTCCCAGCCCTGCCTGCTCCCGTGAGAGCTCTGGCGTAGCTCATCTCCAGGGGCAGGTGTCCCCGGAAATGAAGGGAGAGACCCACCTGTCCCTTAAAGGCGGCATCTTTTCCTTCCCCTCCCTCTTTACGTTCAAGGCCACATCAGCTCTCCCTGGATTACTAAGACGGCCACCTAGCCGGGCCCGCTGGGGCACACCTGTAATCCCGGTGACTTGGGAGGCTGAGGCAGGAGGATCATGAGCTTGAGGCCAGCCTCAGCAACTGAGCCAGACCCTGACTCAAAATAAAAAATAAAAAGAACAGGGACTGGGCATGTGGCTCAGTGCAGAGCGCCCTGGGGCTCAATCTCCTGGAGAGAGCGAGAGAGAGAGAGAGAGAGAGAGAGAGGGGGGGGGGGGAGAAGCCTGAGTGGTCATCTCGTTGAGGTTTCCAAGCGGTGGCCCAGGGACGATTCAGCCCACGAGGTTTGGCCGTTTTAGTTCTGAGCTCAGCTTCTTTCACGGGGGAAAGGCCCTTCCAGGTGGGAAGGCTCCCCTCCTGACTTCTCAGCCAGCAGGAGAGCTGCCGCCGCCTCTTTCCCAGGCCCGCGGCCGCCCTGACAGTGAGCCCCTCCTTGGGAGCCCGGGGTCCCTCTTCTCGCCCTGGGGCCACTCCCGGCCCCTCCCAGCTCCTCTCTCATGTTTTGCAGAATCTGCCTCGGGCTCTTGGAAGCCCTGACACTCTCACCCCCGACCCGTTTGAAAGCCACTTTGCAAGTGGACACACTGCCCCCCAGCAGGTTGGTGCAGGTCACCTTCGTGCCCACGGGAGCTCGGCCCCCGCTGCATCCAGGGCCACATCCGTCACACACACGGCACTGTCAGCCAGGCCACGCGCCCGCTCAAAGGCCGGCATCCAGGACGGATCTGCCCGGGGACCTGGTGAGGCTTTCAGGCCTTCGATTCATTACTTTCTGTCGCAGCAGAAATCAAGGCCGGGAACATAGGACACCCCCAGGCTGGACGTGAGGCCAGCGCCCCATCGACCCCAGCCTGTGTCCACCAGAGACCTGGAGGGATCCCGGGGCCCGGGACCAGGGCAGGGGCCAGACGGGGGGCAGAGGTTGAAGACGGGCTTCCCCCTAGTCCCACGAGATTGCCCCCATGTCCCTCAGTTCTACAGTGTGGAAAAGAAAGAAGGAAAATCTCCATTTTTATTGTCCCCAGCACATTAAGGGAAGTTACTTTAAAAAACTAAAAATCCCCGAATCACGTGAAGCCCTTGAACAGCCCCCACTGCAATTAGGGACCAATCCAAGTTTCCGACGGGTCCTCGGGGCCCTGCCACCCGCTTCCTCTCACTTTATCTTGCTCCCGGAACCCTCCTGCCCCTGCACAGTAAGTCGCAGCACTGATTTTCATTCATTGAACAAATATTTAGTGAGGACCTACTAGGTGCCAGGTCCTCATGCAGGCCGTTGGGGTCTACTATGAACAACAGAGCCTCCTCTTCGGGGACCCCCGTTGAGGTAGCGTGACAGATGGACAAGCAGCATATACAATGTTAAATCGCAGAGCTGGGCGCCGTGCACACGTCTGTAATCCCAGCTCCTTGGGAGGCTGAGGCAGGAGGATCTCAAGGCTGAGGCCAGTCTGGCCACACACCAAGACTCTGTCTTAACATAAAGTAAAAGGGGCTGGGGGTATCACAGACGTCGTCCCTGCTCCACACCCTCCTCCCAGCCAGGGCCTGGGCAGCTACTGCCCCCCCCACCCCCATGTGGCCTCCCCTCTCCCAGAGCCTCCACCTCCCACACAGGGGAGGCGGCTCCCCAGGTTCCCACGGGATCCCCCAGGGTGACCGTCGGTGGGGAGGAGGACTTCAGGAGGAATTAGGTCAAACGAGGTCCTGGGGCAGGTGTCTTGGCAGCCTGGAAGGAGAGGGAGGAGAAGGCCCGCGCCCCTGGACAGGCCGTGGAGGGCCGAGCCAGAGGGCACCTCTGCTGAGCCCGGAGGAGACCTGGGACCTGCAGCTAACAGAACCCAGAGGGCGCTGTGGGTCTGAGGCCCCCGGGCACCCCGTGTGGCGGCCACACAGCCAAGACAAGGGGTGGCCCAGCTCTTAATGCCCCTTGGGGTGCCTAAGCACTGAGCGTCCTCACTGCACAGTGGCCTCTATAAACCCCGGGGCCCGTGCCCCGTCCATCTGCACACCCTGGGGACGCCCCCTCCATCTGCCCACAGCACGTCGCAGAGACCTTTAACTCCTGAGTTGGTGATGAAAACACAGAGATTCCAGCACTTTTTTCAGGCCCAGGGGTCCCCCAGTGACCACTCTGGGGACGTTACTTTGGAGTCCAGCCAGAGTTCTTCGGGCAAGGCCTTTGTGCCTCCCATCGAACTCGCGTCCACTCAAGACTCCTGGAGGACCTGCTGGGCGGGCACCATGGGCACCCACGGGCACGAGGCTGCGCCCCGGGCAGCACCCAGTCTTGGTCAGCTGCATGTGTCATGGTCCCTCTGTCCTTTGCTGTGAGGCGTTGTGAGTCACCTGTTTATAAGACAGCCACCCTTCCCGCGGCCTGGCTGACTGAGCCATTCCCTCTGGTCCTTCAGCGCTGGGCAGCACATAGTAGGTGTTCAATAAACAGGGGGGTGCTGGGAGGAGGGCGGGGGAGGGGATGGCCGTCCCCTCTCCCCCTTCACCCCTTCCCCTCAGGTCAGTGTGGTCATGGAACCTTGCGGGGGCGGCTCAGGGCCAGCAGCCAGGCCAGCAGAGGGGAGGTGACAGGCCACCTGGGAGCAGGGACCAGGTTAAGGTGGTTTATTACATCCCATGAAGCATATGATCACAATTATAATAAGACATGA